CTCTTCTTAATGCAGCCCAGGATTCCATTGGCCTTCTTGGCCACGAAGGCACACTCATGGCCACCTTGTCACCCACCACGACACCCAGGTCCCTCTCTGCAGAGCTGCTCTCCAGAAGGTCGGTCTCCAGCCTGTCCTGGTGTCTGGGGTTATTCCTCCCCAGGTGCAGGACCTTGCACTTGGCCTTGTTGAATTGCATGAGGTTTCTCACGACCAGTTGTCCCATCTGTCCAGTCATCTCTGGATGGCAGCGCAGCCCTCTGGGGTATCAGCTACTCCTCCCAGTTTGGTATCATCAGTGACTTGCTGAGGGAGCACTCCGTGCCTTCATCCAGGTCATCGATGAATAAATTATCTTCTTCTCTTGAGACAACTGTAACTGCATGGCATAGGGTTGAATAAAAAGCTTGCGTGTGTTCCTCCTACGGCAAAGTGTGTCTGTGTGTAAAGAGCGTTTCATGCAACCTTTGGGTTCTCTGCACTTGTACTTGAATGCCAGACTCCTTACAAGGCGTTGCAGATTTTAGGAGCCAGTCAAACCTATAAGAGACCCTGTGGCCATCCACCTTGACAAGAGCCAGTAGGAGCTGATGAAAGGAGAGGAAGGTGGGAGATGTGACTGCTCCTGTGACAAAGTGCTACTGAGATTTTACAGATGATCTCCAGATAGCAAAAGAAACCCGTTGTTTTCCCATCTAGATGAAGAGGTCACCATCCAAGGGATCTTCCACCAGTGCAGAGACTGAGGAGAGAATTAAAATCTAAGGTGAAGGGTAAAGCTCTGCTTGGAGAGGAAGCCTCTGGCCCATAGCCTGCATCCAGGTGGCTCCACTAGCCTCAGGTGGCTTCTGCAGCTATGTCTCTTTTAGTAAATAAGGGCCCAGAATTAACCCTGGGCATCAGGACGTGTGATCTATCTGTTGAACCCACACATCCAGGTGTGATTTCAACCCTATTCCAGCTCCGATGCTTCGCGGTCCCATGAAGATTTAAGTTACTGGCAGAGACAGTCTACGTGCAAGGGCCACAGGACGCAGCCGTAGGACACTGCAGAGGTCCCAGGTTCAGAACGGAGCTAGCGTAGGGATGGGGGACACTTTGGAGCTTGTGGAAAACCAAGATCCAGCCACAAGCTCTGCCTGAGGACGCTGCCAAGCCCTCAGCTGCTGAAGGTGTCCTGGGGTGACCTCGCTGTGTGCTTGTCCCGGCCCTTTCCTCCCTCCTTAGGTTTGGAGAGGACCACGACGGCAGGACCATTGACCCAGCATGGCCAAACACGAACATCCCATGGGCGTCCTGGTTGCGTTTTCCCACCCCCAGTTTCTTGAGCTCCTTTCTCACGAGCTCCCGTCTCCCAGCCGTGCTCCGGAGCCACCAACGCGTCAGGCACCGGCCAGCCCTGCCCCTGGCGCGAGCGCTAGCAGGTCCGACCGGCTTATCTCGATGTCCTCCGCTTCCGCCGGCAGCTGGCGGGTTCCTCACGCCCCCGGAGCGCGACGGGAAAACAAACACACCCGGCGCGAGCGGGCGGAACGCGGGGCCGGAGCCGCGGGGTGCAAGGCTGCCGGCAGGGACAAGCAGGTGAAGGAGCAGGTTCCTCCACGTGCCTTGGGCACAGGGTTGCGGGGAGCCCCAGCAGGGAGGACCCTCTGGCCACGCTCTTGCTCAGGTCAAACATCTCCCAGTCCCTCCTGCCGGTGACTCTCCGGAATGGGGCCGCGTTCCCAAACTGACCCATCCTCCCAGGGCTTGTTGGAGGGGCCAACTTGGTCCCCAGGTCCACCTGAGCTGCCGCCTCTCCGACCCTGCGAGCGGCAGGGACGGTGTTGGGCAGCCACCTGCGGGTGCCTTCGCACCGGGCAAGACTTCAGCTCTGGCTCTGAAGCTCCGTCGGGCAGAGGCCACCTGAGCTTCCAGGCCGTCTTGTCCCTCTTCTTCTAAGCACATGCCTTGATGACAGCGGCATCTGGTTTTGGGAGCCCCACTTCCAGAAAGACACTGATAAACCGGAGTGGGTTGAGTTGAGTCCACCAACACGGACAGCAGCTGGATCAGAGGCTCAGGGAGCTGGACTGGTTCAACCCGGAGGAGAGACGTACGAGCAGCTCCCCCACACCCACCAGGAGGCTGTTGAGAAGACGGAGCCAGGCTCTTCACGTGGTGCACGATGGGGTGAGAAACAACAGCATCAGCAGAAGATGCTCAGGCTGGATGTGAGAGGCCTTTCCACCATGACAACAGCCCTGCAGTAGTCCAGAGAGCTCGTGCAGTCTCCGTCCTTGAGGAGTTTCGAGACCCAACTAGATGAGGTCTTGAGTAACATGGTCTGACCCTGCTTTGGGCAGGTGTTTGGACCCGAGACTCCCTTCCATCCTGAATTATCCCTATGATCCTAACACCCCGTCTGAAAGAGGACTTGCTTCCCCATCATCCAGGTCCCCACAGCTTGTCCCAGGTGTGTGGAGCCCAGCGGCTCCCAACAGCGCTGGCCAAGGACAAGCTCAGAGGTGCCACCACGGATGCGCATGGGGGTTCCTGGCAGGAATCACCCGACAGCTCATGTATTGTGAAGGCATAAGGGACACTCTCATGTCCCTAACGCCTTCCCTTCACTGTGTGGAACCTGGGACCTCCAGCTCCTGCTGGGATGAGGCAGGACATGGGAAAAACACCCCGCAGCAGACCTGGGACCTCCAGGAGAATGTCCTCAGAACCGCCCTGACTTGGCGCCTCCTTTATTTGCTTCTCCCAATAAAGCACACAGGGTTTTTTGGCTCCGGGGCACTGTTCCTCGCTTATCTGTTTGCCGTTTACCCACCGGCCCGGCGTGGGCAGCAGATGTGGCCTTGGTGGGAAGGTCCCTGAGGTGCCCTGGGAGGACATCCGGGGACTATAAAGGTCCCCGGGGCCTGAGGCAGGGCCACGTCGGCCACCATGCGGGTCCTCCTGCTCGTCCTGGCCATCGCGGCCGCTGCCTGCGGCGAGGAGCAATTCGTGGGGTGAGTCCGGCCGAAGCGGGAGGAGGTGACGGTGGGGACAGCATTGCTGGGGAGGCTCCACATGCAGCTGCGGGATGGAGGCCCCAGAACATCCCCAAACCCCCCTTTTGCTCTCTTCTTCCTGCAGAGACCAGGTCCTGCGCGCCACGGCAGGCAATGAGGCTCAGCTCGCCCTGCTCCACTCCCTGGGTGAGCAGGAGGAACTGCAGGTGAGAGCCCATCGCCCCGGCGTCTGGCCTGCGCTGGCCGGGTCTCATGCACGTGGCCGGATCCGTCATGGGCATGAGGAACACTGCCAAGGAGCCCCCATCCCACCTTCAATGTCCATCTCAGCCCAGGTGGAACCGTTTCTCGCCCCAGGTGCTGGTGGCCACTAAACGTAGGCCATGATCAGCCACCGGTTTCCCAGCAAAGTCGCCCGGTTGTCCCCACGCAGCTTCCAGTGCCCTTGGCAGAAGATCCTGAGGTGCCGCTGGAGTCACCCTCCCTCTTCCCCACTCCAGGTTGACTTCTGGCGCGGCCCCACCAAACCCGGCCACCCCGCGGACCTCAGGGTCCCTTTCCGGAACCTCCAAGCCGTCAAAAGCCTCCTGGAGAGCAACAACATTCCCTACAGCGTCATGATCGAGGACGTGCAGGTGAGGGGCGGGATGCAGCTCTTCACCTCCATCTCGAGGGAGGTGCTGGGAAGAGGAGGAGAACATGGAAACCAGAGGCCAACTCCAGTTGACTTTTTGGCAAAAGAAACACCCAGTGGGTGGGAAAAACGTGGTCCCACCAGGAGGACATGGGTTCCTTGGGGCGGGATGGAGGCCGCAGTTGACTTCTCCCAACCAGGAATTGGTCAACGAGGAGAAGAGGACCATGAGGCTGTCCCGGAAGCTGCGGAGGAGCACAGACACTTTCGACTTCTCCTCCTACCACACGATCGAGGAGGTGGGTGGCCGATGCGCGGCCACGACGGGGGGTGACAGCGGCGGTGACGACTCCCCTGTCCCTGGCAGATCTACGACTGGATGGAGGAGCTGACGGTCAAATACCCCAACCTGGTCACCAGGCTGCAGATCGGGGAGAGCTACGAGAAGCGGCCGCTCTACGTGCTCAAGGTGGGTGCCACGGGCAGCGCCGGCCTCACCGGGAGCAAAGCAGTGCCAAAGTGCAGGCGTGCACAAGCTTACACGTGCATGCACAAGCCTGCACAGAGGTGCACATGCATGCACAAGCTCGCATGTGCATGCACAAGTCTGCACAGAGGTGCACGTGCATGCACAAGCCTGCATGTGCATGCATACACATGCACAAGCTCACACGTGCATGCACAAGTCTGCACAGAAGTGCACACGTGAGAACAAGCCAGCATGTGCATGCACAAGCCTGCACATGCATGCAGAAGCTCACATGTGCATGCACAAGTCTGCACGGAAGTGCACGTGCATGTGCACACATGAGAACAAGCCTGCACAAGTCTAGACATGCATGCACAAGCCTGCATACAAGTGCACAAGTCTGCATGTGCATGCAAAAGCCTGCACAAGTGGGGCTAGGTCCGCACATGCATGCACAAACAGCACATGCATGTGGAAGTGCACACGTGTGCAGTGGCATGCACAAGCCTGTGCAAGCAAAGCCCGTGCACAAGCATGCAAAACCCTGAAGACTTGTGCGTAAGGCTGCACAAGTGTGCTTAAGTCTGCACTTGCACACACCGTGAGCCCAAATCTGCAGGTGCATGCCCAAGCCCACACAGGCGTGCACAAGCCTGCACACAAACATACACTTCGACATGTACACGTGCATTCAGAAGCTTCTACATATGTGTGCAAGCTGGCATGTGTGTGCACAAGCGTGCACACATTTGCCCAAGTGTGCGCACATGAGCACAAGCCTGCTCATGCATGCACGGGCCTGCACACAAGTGCATAACGCTGCACAGGCGTGCCTCAGCCTGCACATATATGCACAAGCCTGCCGTGCATGCACAGACATGACCACAAGCCTGCACACGCATGCACACAAGTGTCCATGCTTGCATGAGCATGCAAAAGTCTGTACCAGCACGAGCATGCACAAGCCTGTAGGCATGCACACAAGCCTGCAGAATTGTGTACAAGCATGCACACGGATGCACGAGCCTGCAGGTGCATGCACACTCTTGCACACAGATCCACAAGCTTGCAGGCATGGTGACAGCGGCGGTGACGAATGCACACAAGCCTGCAGGTGCATGCACATGCTTGCACAAGCCTGCAGGTGCAGTGTCCATCTGCAGACCTGTGCACACGCGCGTGGGCAGCGCGCTCACGGCCCCGCTCCCTTTGCAGTTCAGCACGGGCGGCTCGGGCCGCCCCGCCATCTGGTTCGACACCGGCATTCACTCGCGCGAGTGGATCACCCAAGCCACCGGCGTGTGGACGGCCAACAAGGTAGGTGCCCGCGCGGGAGCCCCTGGCCAGGAGATTGTCACCGTGGTGGCTCCTCCAAGGACCTCTGGGGCTGGGAGCTCCAACCTCCCTGGGCTTCCCTGATGATGTCCAAGAGTGTCCCCATGTCGGTCTTGGGTGCCTGGGTCTTGGCCATGTGGCTCCTTGGTCTCTGCACGTCCCACCACGTGCTCAAGCGAGTTTCAAGGTGGCTCCTTCTGCTCTTCACGCCACGCAGCTAGCCGAGGATTACGGCAAGGATCCCGCCGTGACCGCCATTCTGGACAACCTGGACATCTTCTTCGAGATAGTCACCAACCCCGATGGCTTCGCTTACACCCAGAGCACTGTAAGTGCCTCAGTGGGAGGAGAAACCTGGTCGTATCCCCCAGCTCCTGCAGAGCTGCCGTGGATGCCACCATGCATGGGGGACATCACAGTTTTGGGTGGAGAGGAGCCCAGGGCTGCCCCTTCCCACCTGGGACGTTGCCCCAGAAGAGCAGAAGCTGCCAGAGTGGGTTGGTGGAGGTTCACCCCCTCATTGGCGACACCCCAACGTGAGACCTGGCCTGGTGGCCTGGGCTCATCCCCACCAGCCCCATGACGGCCCATGCTTGCTCCTAGAATCGCATGTGGCGGAAGACGAGGTCCATCAACGCCGGGTCCTCCTGCATCGGGGTGGACCCCAACAGGAACTGGGACGTGGGATTCGGAGGTAGGGTGGTGCTGTGGGCGCTGGAGATGCTGAACACCCCTGGAATACCTGGGCTGCCTCTCAACACCCGTGGTGGCCCCAGCGCCGTGGTGGCCCCACGGTGAGCGGGTGTCTCCTCCCCCGGTGTCCCAGGCTCTGGCTCCAGCAGCAACCCCTGCTCCCAGACCTACCACGGTCCCTACGCGCACTCCGAGAGCGAGGTGAAATCCATCGTGGACTTCATCCTGCAGCACGGCAACGTGAAGGCCGCCATCTCCATCCACAGCTACTCGCAGATGCTCATGTCCCCCTACGGCTACAAGTCGGAGCCGGTGCCCGACCATGAGGAGCTGGTGAGGAGGCCGCAGCACCTCGGGGTGCCCGGTGGGGTGCGTGGTGCCCAGCCGGGCCCTCACCGCTGCCCGCGGGGCGTCCTCCTTGCAGGACGCGCTGGCCGCCAAGGCCGTGAAGGACTTGGCCGCCGTGTATGGCACGCAGTACACATACGGCAGCATCATCGACACCATCTGTGAGTGTCCCCGTCCCCTCCCGTGGGGGGATGCCACCATGGCCAACCCCCTCCACCGCGGTGACGTCCTCTTGTCCCCTCCATTCGCAGACCAGTCGGCCGGCACCACGGTAGACTGGGCGTACGACAACGGCGTCAAGTACTCCTACACCTTCGAGCTGCGCGACACGGGCTACTATGGCTTCCTGCTGCCCGCCAGACTCATCGTCCCCACGGCGCAGGAGACGTGGCCGGCGCTGCTGGACATCATGGAGCACGTCCTACAACACCCCTACTGAGCGGGGGTTCCCCGGCGCCGCGCGGCGCCCGCCGCCCTCCGCGGCCCCGCGGTGCCGCC